AACTTTTTTTAAAACTTATTGACAAAGAAATTATGATAAAAAATGCTTCGGACTCTTTAAAAAATTGTTACAATATGTTTTACAGCAATAATACAAAAGTAGTTATTTTTATTACAAACAAATAACATTTTTGAAATCTCTATGAAAATACGCTTCTTTTAAGACTCAGCTTGACATACTTTTGAATAACTTTTTTTTTCGACAATATTAGGGATTTTACCCAAATACTAAAGATTTGAATCCAAATATTATTACAACCTGACTTGATGGTGAAAAATGAGTTGCATATTTTAAATCAAAATGAGAAATGCTATAAAAAAAGCTAATTGTTTGCTAGGCGACAGGAAAATATTTTTTTTTGTTAACCTGTTAAATAACAACCTGTTATTTAACACATTTTGTAATTATAAAACTGTATTACATAACTTTATATTTACAACGGAATTTTTTTTAATCCTAAATCATTATTTTTATCTACTAGTATAATAGATTGAAATTTTAAGTTCTTTTATTTCTTCTTCTTTGTAAATTTATTTATTTGTGAATATTTTATTATAAAAATTTTTAACACGTAATCTTTTTAACGGTTCTCGAATACAAGATCTTCCGGTTTTCTACAAGTCCCCGCGTTCTAATTTTTAATATTGTTTTTGTAAATTTTTATTGTATTTCTGTACTTTATTCTTTTTAGCGTATTGCTTTTTTAAAATCTAATTAAAAAACAATATATATATATATATATATATATATATATATATATATATATATATATATATATATATATATATATATATATATATATATATATATATATATATATCAACCTTGTTCGTCAAGGTTTGTGTTGCGGAGTTATAGAGTTGAGATAAGGTTGTAACCACAATTAAGTAGCCTTCTTGTCTGTAGTTACCTTCTCGGCGTTGGGAAGGTGAATTAACATTAAAAAAAAACTTATAAAAATAGATAGTCAGTGCAATATTGACTTTGTGTTCTTCTTCTGTATTGTCTTTTATCGGCTGTATCAGATGAATTCTCAAAAAATCTTTTAATCTTTATTTAGAATAAAATTGGTTATTCTTAAGACTGTTTTTTATCTCCAAACCTCGTGTTATATTTTTTATATTTAATTAATTTTGTAGGCAGTTTAAATAAAAACCTTAGATCTTTTTTAAATTTGTTTTTAAAGATACGATTACGAAAAATAACTTTTCACTAAACCTTTTGCCGTAGTTATCAGATCTAATTTAATCAAATAAATAAATAAACAACCAAGGCATGAAAAACACACAAAATTCAAGATATAAAATGTTAAATATATATAAATTAATTAACCAAGTTTAACGTAACTAATCAATTCTATAAATTTTTTAAATTATATTATGGTTAAATAAAAAATACTTATATAAAATAAATTTTATGTAAAAGTATACTAATAGTTCATTTTAATTTATAAAGTTAACGAAATAAAAACGATTTTTAATGTAAAAGTCAATTTAATAACTTTAAATTGACATGAAAAATAAAAAAAATAAAAAAAATATTCAAAAGGCCATCATGGACCGTTGATATGATATATACTCTTTCAAAGGCTTTTCAAAAGAATAAAGCAAATTGCAAAATCAAAAATTTCATTAATGTTTCATACAAACAAAGTGGCCATCAGACCTCCTAAAACGTCCATTGGACCACTGGACGTCCACTCAACGTCTTAGGACGTCCAAAGCCCACTGGGTAAATGTTTTATTTATTTAACCATATTAACATTTTATTTAAAAAATTAACATAAGTTTTAATAAATTATTAAAATGATTTCTCAAGACAAATTATCGTTTATTAAAAGTACAAACAATTTTCACATAATATTCAGATAAATATTGAATAACACAGTGCAATTGGAGCTTTTATCAAACTAAAGTATGTAAAAGTATATAACATTAATTCAAAGGTATATACTAAGGATTAAAACTTATATAATTAAAAGTTATTACAATAATTATTATTACAATAATTATACTACAATAACTATTTTTTTATTTATCAATAATTATATATCAATAACTATTTATTGTTAAATATTGTTAAGCATGAACCGCTGAAAAACATTTAAATATTTTTTTTAATTGTACAATATTATAATGCTTTAAATTTTTAAATTGAATTGTTCATTTTTGTTTTGCATTTTAATGTTTTATAATAAGAAGTTGGTACATTGTTTGTAAAAATACTTAACTAGTATTTCAAATTATTTAAAAATTAAATATATAGACAGAAACTAAAATGAGTGGTAATATGCTTAGTTTGATAAACACTTGTTTCTACTTAATAAAATAAGATAACAAAAAAAATAAGTAGAGAAGTTAACAGAATAACTGAAAAGTATAATTAAAGCAGCCAATAAAACGATTTTATTTATTAGCCTAAAGAGTAGAGTGATTAAAAGAATGGCAGTAATAAAATATATATATATATATATATATATATATATATATATATATATATATATATATATATATATATATATATATATATATATATATATATAATATATATATATATATATATATATATATATATATATATATATATATATATATATATATGAAGACCACACGGGTAAAACCACAGATGTCACATTTTTCTCATTTCGAGAAAAATGAAATTTAGTGTTTAGTGACTTTAGATATCTGTTTATTAATAATTTATTTAATTAAAAGTACATTTTTCTGACATTTTAGTCCTTATACAATATAAAAACGCAGTTTTTGTGCTAAATACAAGTATTATTTATTCACAATGTTCTTTTGAAAACAAGACACTCATTTTGGACATCTGTTGTTTTTCCGTTGTAAACTCATCAACTCGTAAATTACGTTAGATTGTAACCTTTTAGAGCACTTATTTTTTTTTAAGGTAGATGGTAACACATTGTAATTTACAACTACAACGTACTAAGTGTGTGATGGGATAATAAAGCCACCGCCCCCTCCCCCTCTTTTAATAAAAAAAATTCGATTCACGTTCACAGAAAAACATTTTAAAAAATCAAAATGTTTTTTAAAATGTTTTTCTGTGAACGTAATGTTGTTTACTTCATCCGAAAAGTTAGTCATGTGACTTACGCTTTTATTATCATTGGTTTAGTTAAAAATAACTTGTTTTTTACGCGGTAAACATTGGACAACAGTGGTTGTTTCAAAGTTGCCCTTTTTTTTAAATGACCATAGAACCTTAAAACATAGTTTTTTTGTTATGAATTTTTAAATTAAAATAGGTTAATACTAAAATATCATAAAAATATATAAAACTTGAAATTTTCAAAAAGTGGACATCTGTGGTTTTACCCGTGTGGTCTTCATATATATACAGTGGCAATTTTACGGGGTGTGTGTGTGGGGTGCTTAACCCCCTCTCCCCCCACCCACCCAAAAAAAGTGATTTTCAAGTTATAGTCGGTTTTTCTACGAACAAAAACGTTTTGAAGCCATGTTTTTTTTTTACTTTAAAAGCCATTCGGTACTTTTTAATGATTCATTCCTTCCCCCAATTAATATATATATATATATATATATATATATATATATATATATATATATATATATATATATATATATATATATATATATATATATATATATATATATATATATATATATATATATATATATATATATAGAGCCTATTCTTAACCTACAAGTAATTGGTATATCAAATAGTAACTAATACAATCATATAGATAAGCAAACGCAGTTTTAAAAAACTAATAAAATTAAATTTGAAAAAAAACTAGGCTAATTGTTTTTATTAAAAGTTGGATTTTAATTATAAATTTTAAAGTTTGTAACTGCATATCAACAAATAATAATGTTAAAATAAATTAAAAAAAAATTAACAAAAAACACCACATGCTTATATATGTAGAAATATAAATAATAAATTGGACTGAATATAAATAATATATTGCAATGAAATATAAATAATAAATTGCAATGAATAGTCTTCTATTTTATAATTAACTCATGGTTTTTTTTTTGTTCGGAATTTAAAGATTTGTATTTAAAAATTATTTTTTTTTTGCTATTTTAAAATCATCTTGAAAAATAATGTAAATTTCCATATCTTTTTAACTTTTTTTAAAACATTTTTAAAATATTTCTTAAAAGTTCTTAAAAGTAACCAGTAGATGTTTCTTTAGATGTAGTTTTTATTTAATTTTTTAAAAAATTTCTTTTATTTGAGTAGTTTGCTCACACCTTAGAGGAAGCAAGTTCAAGCCAAAAATAGTCTTAACACATGTCATACATTTCTGGATTTGCACTGATGTCTTCTTTTAGAAATAAAAACCTTGAAAATTTTTTTAGGAATCCGAAAAAAAAATGTTTTTTTGTAAAAACACTTCAGTACTTTTACTTATATGGGCAATAAATATTTTTTTCAATCATGAGTTATTCCAATACATTTAAATAATTCAAAAACTTCATAATGGTCACAATTGAGAGAGATTTTATTTGATGGGTAATATGTTCTCATATTAATAATCGTCACTGACCAAAATGTCTAAATTAGTTTTTTGATAAAAAAAATTTGAAATAATTTTACTCTGCAATGTTAATAAACCATTGTAATGCTTGTGTACGATTAAAGTTTTTGTTTTAGTTGTTTTCAAGTTATTGATTGCTTTTATTTTAAACAGCTGTTTAACACTAAGACACATGAAACCATATTGAGATTTGATATTAAAAAAATATAATATTTTCATACATATGAATTACGAAGATTAATTTTAGTATAAGAATAAAATGATTTATAAAAGATTTATAAAAAATATGTGTGTCAAAAAACACAAATGTCTCTAACAAAATTTTGAAATATGTTTGTCTATTGTTATAAACAATAATTGACCACAGCAGTTTCGATTGATACATTTTTAGACAACTTGGAACTTTTTGACTTTGCTCATAAAACCGTTGGACATCGTAATAAACAGTCTTAGAGGTCTGCTCTTACCAAAACCAAGATTTTTTTATGGGTAAATGACAGCCATTGATTCCGAAAAATCAGACACATGGGTAACTAGAGCATGCACTATAGGAGATTTTTTCATTTCACGCAAAATATGCTTAGTGTAGACATTGGTGTCACCCTTGTAAGTTATTTCTAAACTTAAATCAAAACAAGTTTTATTTACTTATTTAGTACTTTCATTGAAAACATCAAACTCAATTTTAAGAATATTGTATAATGTTTCTATGTGGTGTCATAGCATTGCCATAGCAGTTGCCTCCTTTGAACTGGCAAACGTGCAATCTTGGCTTATCATGCCCTATTGGCTTATTCTACACATTTAAGGGAGCTGATTTTTTTGTTCTGAAGAGCATTTTATCACCCATGTTATACACTGTTTTGTATTTTAAGATAATAGGTGAAGCCTTATTTGAGAGTGGATTTCTGAACGAGGTACATTATTAAGTGGATATAGCGAGGATTAAGGACACAATTACCTACCTATATATGTACCTACCTATATAACTACCTACCTATATAAGTACCTACATTAAATTAATGCTTGTGTAGTGAATCTAAAAGTAAATAAAAAATTTTCTTTAATTCCGAAGCAGTTAAGTATAACTTTTTAAATACACTCTTTCTATCTCTTTATATGAACAATACAATCTAGTAAAATGATATACATGTTCTTTTTCAAGTTTTTTTGCTGTTGAATTCTGTGACACAACGGATTACAAAAATTACTTTTAGTAAACTACAATCTTCATTAACTCTTAGTTTTACAATCAAGTTATCTTGAAGGTTTCTGATTACTTGTAAACTTTGCAAGTCTTTCCTGTATACAAAAAGTTTACCTATATAGCTTTATTTCTATTCAGATGCAACTTTGATCTAAGGTTTTGTAAAAAGGTTTTTAAATTATTTGCATTATTGAGAAAAACATTAACACCAAACTTGGAGTAGAGTTTTATCTCAACAATGCAATTTGATAAAACGTATTTAAGAGTTTAGATTTTTTTCAAGATTTTTTCCACACCAGAATTTGACACCCTCAGTATTGTTTTGCCCATGAACAAGATTTTTATTTGTTAGTTGTGGTCCTTTATTAAAAAGGCTCTAAACTCTTAAAGTAGAACCTTAAAAATATATCAAAGAAATAATATACTTTTATGGAAAATATTTTGAATATTTAATTAAAATTTACTTTGAATGTCTAATTTAAAAAAATACTTTGAATGTCTAATTAAAATTTTGCCAGAAAGACCTAAAATAGGATATTCTACTAATCCCCAAAGGTTTATTAGAAAAACTGTTCCTTGAGTTGTTCAATGAGGTTCTTTGATTGCAATTAAATTATTGCAACAATCTCCGCTGCAACACAGTCTTTCGACATGATTTGATTAGTAGCTTAATTCTTTTGAAAGGTACATTTTGCATAGTTGTGTAAAAGGCCCTCTTTAGATTTGCACTGAAAATATTTTCTTTCAAAAGTGTTTTATTAACCTAAAATTTTCGGATTAGTAAGACTGGTGTGGAGAATTACACTTTTCTATGCCAACTAAACAAGTTAAACAGTCACATGACATAAAAACCTCGTTTTCCAAAAGCAAATTTTGGAAAACGAGGACCTTTTTTTTTTTTTTTTTAGTCGGCAAAAGTTGTTAAGGCACACACGTGACATCTACTCGCGCCGGCCCTATATATATATATATATATATATATATATATATATATATATATATATATATATATATGTATATATATATACATATATATATATATATATATATATATATATATATATATATATATATATATATATATATATATATATATATATATATATATATATATATATATATATACAAATTCAATTTTTTTTTAATGTTCAAATTTTTTTAATACTTCGTCGATAAAGACAGTTTAGAAATCAGTCTTTATTGACATTGTGTAAAAAAATTGAAATTAATAAGTAATTTCTAATCATTTATATTTATATATCAGGGCTTAATTTAATTTTTTATAAGGTCCCGGACAAAATGTCTGACCAAAAGTTATTTTGTCCGATCAAATTTTTGAAATAAAATTTAAACAAATAATTTTTACCAATATTTACATATATTCATTTTGTTAAAAGGAACACAGGAAAAAGATTCTTTAAATGCTGAGAGTAAAAAAGTACTGCAGAAGGGTTTTTCTAGACTAGCTTATCTGAGTTTTACGGAACCCAATTATCCAATCGAAATATCTGTTATGTTTTCCCAGTTTATTTTATTTTAGGCTAGTGAAGTTCTAGTTTTTTTTTAATATTCAGAATTTTTATCATCGTAGATCTTTGTATTTTAAATGAAATAACTTAAATTCAATACTGCGCATTTTTTTAGGTAGACTTGAAGTTTTATTTGACTTGAGTTTTTTTCTCTCGAAAACCACGTTAGTTTACATTGAATTGCATTACCGGTTTATAAAAGCTATGTAAATTTTTTTACTTAAAAAAATATAATATGCTAAGTGTCAATTTTGCGCATAAGCTCCACTTTTAGCGCCCAAAAGGTATTTATATGGCGTTCATGTAACTATTTTTATCAATAATAAAATAGGCAAGAAAACAAATTTGTTATAGTAATATTTTATAATAATGTCTTCAATATATTAAATATTAAGATAAAAAATATTATTTTTAAACTTGATATAAAAAGTTTAAGCTTCATTTAAAGGCGGTTGAATCAAACGCAATATAATATTTACGGGCTATTATTTAATTTAAAAATTCCACGCGCTGCATGTCATAAAAATTCGATGAATTCAACGAAGAAAATTTTATGAGTTCTACAGGTTATTATTTATCTACTTTTCAAAAAAGCACTCCTTCTTTGGCTGACAAGTTTTGTAAAAGCTAGAACTTTTTAATCTTTTATATATATATATATATATATATTTATATATATATATATATATATATATATATATATATATATATATATATATATATATATATATATATATATATATATATATATATATATATATATATATATAATAAATAATAAGAAAAAAAATACAAATAAAGATATAGTTCAAAAAACGAATAATAAATAAAGAATCGGAAAACTCGAGTAGGACCAGGATGCCACCGAGACACCGCTCAAGCTAAAATAGAATGACTTGGATGATTATAACGTTAATATTTAAATGTATATTTTCTTAATGTTTTTTTAAAAATATTCCATCGATGAGATCTCAGCCTCTAAAAAAACACATTTGTAAAATCAAATTTTTATCAAATTTTTCAAACTGCTAGCTTTTCTTTGCTTTTCGGTGTCCACGGCGTTTGCAGTAATAAATCGAACATACTTTGACTTTTGCGATCGTTTTAAATAAGCAATAACTTTAAATTTAATAATATAACAATAAAACTGATAAAGAACAGTCATTAAAACTACAATTAATAACAGCGCTTTTTTTTGGGAATGAATGCCTCCATTATCAACATATTTATAAGTTTGTCTAATAGTTACATTAAGTTTAAATTTGTCAATTTCAAATCAACAAATAAAATTTGTAATTTCCACTAAAATTAATAATGTTTTGAGTAATAGTTGTTAGCATTTACCCTTAAACTGCATGGTTTAATATAGTGACTTATACGTTCACCTTTACAAGTTTCTATTTACTAAGTCTAGTTTCCAGTTCTCCTTCTGGTGAATTAAAGTATTCTTTAAAGTCGTCTCTAACTTGCTTCGCATCTTTTGAGTTGTTGTTAGAACCTGAATGTGACAGTGGTGGTTGTGCAGCAGAACATGAATTATCTTGTCTCCAATCACTTGGTCTAAATCCAGCAGGACCGTCGAAATCGGTGTAATTTGTGGGACAGTAGAAATAATTGTTTGCTGATCTTTTTTTTATAAGAAAGTTATGTAGAGCTATAATAGTTTGTGTAATTAAAATAACTTTTTCAAGATTAGCTACGATTGGTCTGCAAAATATTCGAAAGCGTGTTGTAGCAATACCAAATGTATTTTCTATAACCCTTCTGGCTCTTGAAAGTCTGTAATTGATTATTTTTTGATCTAAAGGAATGTTTTGATTAGGGTATGGTTTCATCATGTGTCTTTTTAAGTCAAAAGCATCGTCGGCAACTAAAACGTACGGTAATATTTTTTCTGAATTACCAATATATTCAGGATCAGGAATATTCGGTTTGTTATTTTCAATTGCATAAGCAAGACTGCAATTGTTAAAAATGCTACAATCGCTTTGTCTTCCCGAGTCACCAATGTCTACCATAGTAAAATCGTATTTAGCATTACAAACAACTAGAAGAACTATGCTATGCGTTTTCTTTTAGTTAAAATACTCTAATCCGCCATTATAAGGAGCTTGCATAACGATGTGCTTGCCATCTATTGCACCTATAGCATGCGGGAAATTCCTCATGTTTTCAAATTCTTTTTCAATTGTTTTCCATTTTTATTTTTCTGATGGGACGCGTAGAAAATTTCTCTCTTTCAATGATGTCCAGATAGCAGCACATGTTTCACTAATAATTCTACTGATAGTAGATGCGCTAATTCTGTAACTTGCAGCAATAGTACACTGAGCATCTCCTGTTACAAAATACACACAGGGCCTTTCGTGGTAGTTCTTTCTTTCACAATGATAGGTGCTACAAACGAAAGCAACTCTTCGCAAGCCGTAGGAGACATACGAAAATACTTAAAAAAAGTGTTCCTGGTCGTGTAAACGTAAATCCTGGACTAATAAATGAAACTCTCCTTTCTGAAGGCGTTCGGTATAAACTTTCCTTACTTAAAATCGTTTTTTCTTTTTTCTTTTTGTCGTTTTATTTGCAACATTTTTAAAATAATTAATTTTCTTCGAACTAACCACAATCTTTTTTTAATCGACATGTTTTCCAAAAAGCGTTACGCTAAAGTTACGTAAAATTAAAATTCTGATTCTGCGAAAAATTAGTGGCGTAAAAGTTCGCTTCGCGTGAAATAATTTGCAACGTGGAAAGACACCTTAACAACAAGCTGTAAGTTTCATTAGTATTGAGTTTTAAAATTTCTTATCCAATATATATTTAGAAAAATATTTATTCACTTGTATGTAACTTGTTTTGATTAAAGTTTTTAA